GGGGTTGCCAATAAGAAACAAAAGATTCATTACATGTATATATTTGATATTTTTCATTATAAAAAGTTAAATATAGAACATTGTTATGTGCCATGGAGTGGGATTGGACTCATAGCGACCCCTCCCTGGGTTTCCAAGGCAGTATCACTACAGAAATAGATCGCCCAACCTTCCTTCTGGGGAGTGGCTGGTGGGTTTGAACCGCCAGCCTTCTGGTTAGCAGTCAAGTGCCTTAGGCACTACGCTACCACAGCTCCTATAGAACATTAAAGTAGTATTAATTTATCATTTGCACATGTGTTAACTCTATCAATCAGTGTGGAATTTAAGGGACAGAAAGTCCAGTTGGAGGAGTTAGGGAGATGGCAACAACAGAGCAGGGAAGACTTTGAACTTCACCTGAGCCTGGCAAGAATCATGAATGAGATAGGAAAGGGCTTGTGAAATGGAAGGAACAGCGTGAACAAAGACACCAAACCCGCTGCTGTAGGGTCCCGACTATAGCTCTCCCAGATAGGGCAGAGTAGAAACGCCTCATAGTGTTTCCAAAACTGTAAGTATTTACCGAAGCAGACTGCCGCATCTTTCTTCCACAGGGACTGGCTGGTGGTTTGAACTGCTCATAGTTACATTAGCAGTCAAGCGCTTAACCACTGTGCCACAGAGCGCTTTAGCCACTATGCCACCAAGCCTCCTGAACCAAGGAACATTGGTGTCTCAAAATCATCGTCACACACTCGCCAAGTGTACTCTAGTCTCTTGCTGCAGTTGACTATGGACACTTGCTCCATCTCCTTGGCCGCACTGTAAACCCTTTGAGAAGGAAAAGGCCACTCTCCTGCATCCGGGACTCTTCCCACCCCCTTCCACTTTCCAGCAATCAGTGAATGAAGTCAATCCAGTAGCACAGCCACGCCCAGGCACCGCGTAGCAGCAGACTGCTGGTCTATGGCTCCATCTGCTGGTAAACGCTGGGAACTGAAGCAGTGGATCATCAATGGCTTAGCTAAAACGTTCATGGGGAACAACCAAGAAGCTAAGAGCCGCCATGAACCAAGTTGAGGATACTTTTCAAAAGATCCGGTCTTTACCCTCAGAAAAGATAAAACGCATACCAGTTAAACATATAAGAAGCCTTTAATTTTATCACCATAAACATTATACTCTGATTGCTCACATACAGTATAAAATATTTACTCCACTAAATAAATAAGACATAATATTATTGCAAACGGCACTTAAGCCCCAGACATAAGCCCTCCTTAGCCTAGGGGGAGGGGTGCTCCTGAGTTTCTGTGCGGGATTCCCCAATCACAGATGTGCCCTGGGGGCTGAGACAGACAGACAAGGCTAGTGGAGGCACACTCTGTGCTTCTGGTCCCTAAAAAAAGAGAAGACTGTTAAGTCGATGGGGAAAGGCAGGCTGGGCAGCTCTTTCATCAGCACAGGCCTAGAAGTAACAGGGGGCAGTGGGAGGCTGGGCCAGGAGTAAAGGGGAGGTCAGGGAGGCCACTGAGACCCAAAGCCCACCTCCACCTTCCTTCCTCCACTCCCCCAGCCCTGGGTAACAGCATTTGGGATTTGGGTTGAGGTGGATGGAGCTCTCAAGGTCCTGAGTTAGGTGGTTTTCCGGGCCAGACCAATCACTCTAGGAGAAGAGGATTCCAGTGATGCTCAGCCCAAAAACCAACAATTTTAGGGGACCCAGTTGTTGGGGATCCCACCCTACCCAACTCTTAGACACCTACAAAACAGAACTGGGAATTGATTCTCTTCCACTTTGTTAAATAAATAAGTTAAATATTTAAAGGACTGTGCCCCTGTGATGGCAACACAGGGACAAACAAGTCATGTTCTGATCAGATGCAGGGGTTTGGGGGAAGTCAGCAGAAAGGCAGTGCTAGCAGGGAAAGGAGCAAGGGAGCTTTCCCTCTCCCCTCAGAACTCTTCTCCCCAAAATAATTCTAAAACCCTGTAGGGGAGAGTTTCAGGGGAAAAATTAAAAAAAAACAAAACAAAACAAAAAACCATGTAGAGCAATACTGAAGGAACCTACAAGGTAAAGGAGTTTGGAAGGGGGAGAGCAGGAGGTGGCTGAATTGACTCAGCTCCCAAAATCCCTTCTCTGGGTATGACTTGACCAGGACATAGCTGTTAACCCTGAGCCCGGATAATCACCTACAGGGTCCTGCATTCCAGTGCATGGAGCTAGCAAATGTTTTGCTTCCCTGGCCTCCCTATAGAAGTCTAGACTGAAGCCCTTTTGGAGAGCCACCAGCCAACTCCAAAGACTGGAAGAAGGGAGAGCTCAGAAGCTCTAGTCTCCACTTGTGCAGCTATGCACCTCATTGCCACCAGGCAGCAGCAGAGAGCCACATCACTTTGGCAGCAACAGAAACAGGAAGGCCCACAGGCAGCCCAGTGGGGTTCTCTGGAGACTGGAAGAGGGACAATTGGGACCCAATGGAGCAAGGTCCCTCAACAGGTCAGAAGCGCTCTACACTGAGTATTTGGCCAAGTCATTCTTGTCAAATACTACCTGTGTGGCAAAGTAAATGGCGACCAGACCCAGCCCTGCAGCTGACACCATATAGGCAGTGACAGACTGGCTAAGCTGGACGATGGAGCCCATGAACAGGGATGGGGCCACCTGGGACAGCAGGAAGGCACTGTCTAGGATGGCGAGGTCCAGGCAAATGCCCCGGCCTGGGACCACCCTGGCTTCAGACGGCTCGCCCACTACCACACGCATGGAGACATCACAGGCCGAGGCCCCACAGAGTGTGGGTGGAGACGGTAGCAAGCCACCACCCCCTGTAGCCATGGGTCCATTGGGGAAGGGAGTTCCAGACTTGGAGCCTGGCAGGAAGCTGGCTGTCAGGCTGTCTTCACCTCCTCCACTGCCAGTGTCCCCTCGGAATTTGGGCAGGAACACCTGTCAAGTGAGAAAAGAGGAAAAGGACTGGTATATCCCCAGGACTGGGCTTCTCTAGCTATGAGAAGACACTCTAACTTTCCACCCAGCAGCACTGCTTCATCAAGTCTAGACAGGACCCTGCTCAGGAGTGGGGGAGGGCAGAGGTCAAAGGGCAAATCTGAAGCCAGAAGTCTAGGTTTCCACTAGTCACTCCTAGAACAGGCAGGTGGTAGACAAACTCAGTCCTACAGTTTAGGTAGAGGAAAAGACACAGGAGGAATGAAGAGAGGTGAGAAGACTGGGCCCTTGAGAGCCCAAATCTTTATATGTTGTTGTTATGTGCCGTCGAGTCGGCCCTGACTCATAGCGACCCCTCCTTGGGTTTCCGAGGCAGTATCACTACGGAAGTAGGATTGCCCAATCTTTATATAGGAAAGCCCCAGTCCCCATCTGTGCAGCTATGCACTTCATCGCCACACAGTGGCAGCAGAGAGCCACACCACTTTGGCAGCAACTGAAACCGGAAGGCCAGAAGGCAGCCAGCCCTGTGGGGTTAATAGGGAGGATCCAGGCCTCAGCCTCCAGGGAAGAGAAGCACTTGGCTGCTCCTACTCTTTCTGAGCAGAATTCTGCAATGAAGGATGAGGGAAGGAAGTACCTCCTTCCCAACTCCCACAGCCCCATCTGTGCTAATGTTAAACCCCTTCCTGTTTCCTTCTTGTTGGCTGCCTTAGATCAGTACCCTGTGTCTGTAGTGACCCTATAGAACAGAGTAGAATTGCCCCATAGGGTTTCCTAGGCTGTAATCATTAGAAGGTTGGGCAATCTATTTCCGTAGTGATACTGGCTCAGAAACCCAAGGAGGGGTCACTATGAGTCGGGTCCGACTGGACGGCAAATAACAACAACAACAACAAATCATCACAGAAGCAGATCATCGGGTCTTTTCCCCCACGGACTGGCTGGAGTGTTGGAACCAACTTCTCTGTTAGCAGCCAAGCACTTAACCACTGTGCCACCAGGGCTCCTTCACAACAGCCCAGAGCCTTCTATTTTAAGGACAAGGACAAGTCTTCCCTGACCCTGTTCCCCAGTGCACCGCCCAGTGTCTAACACAAATGTTCTCCAGTTGACTGTGTTACTGAGGGGGGAGCTACGGCAGAGCTCCCACACAACCCAGGGAAGCCCATGGCCCCTCACAAACCTGGACCAGTAGGCTGGAGAGCAAGCAGTCTAGTGTAGGGCCAAGTCTGCCATCACCAGGACAGCTCCGCCCTACTTGCCCTAGGAAAGACCAGTTAGAGGGTCCTGGGGACTAGCTCTTCAGTATGGAATGGAGGGCCAGCTCAGCATGATCCCTGGCACAATTGCATGTGCCCAGACCTGGGCTCCAGATACTCCCAGCCTATGGTAGCATGAGAGCAGAGGCTAATGAACCAAAAAGCTTGCCCCTCCATACACGGCCTCCTACCTCTGCAGCCATCCACCCAGTTAGCCAGCCTCCCAGCTACTCCATGCTGACAAGCTGTCTACCACCCTACTCATCTTCCACATGGGCAGGGCCAGTGCTTCCCACAGGCTGGACACTGGCTAAGGGCAGGCCTGCATCTCCTTCTCCCTTGGGACACCCCCATCAAATGCCCCTCAGGCGGAGTTCTGCATCTAGAGCTATAGCTCAGGGAGGCCCACAGAGGAGAGCAAGGCAACTACACTGCCCAGGCCAGGAGGATTCCCATGGAAGTACAGGAAGCTGGTGAGTGTTGAAATCAAGCAGGAAGGAAGCCTTCCAGTTTACAGAGCCCAGGCGAGCAGTGTCAAGGGGGCTAGTTGGCTGGGTGGATGCTTTACTGGGGGTAAAGGAGTGAGGAGGGAAAGAAAGGAGAATCAGACAGAAAAGGAAGATAAACCAGAGAGAGGTGGCAGCAAGGAACCTTCTTCATCTTGGACAACGAAGTAGGGCCCAGGTTGGTCAAGCTGCCTGTCCCAGAGAAAGGAGGCCTGCTGCCAAGGCCAGATCACTGTTGCTCACCACGGAAGCTAGGTGCTTCGGAGTCTTGTGATTAGCCCCCTGCCTCTGCACAGGACAGTCCCTCGCTCAGCCCAGACTGAGGGCTTCTTTAAGCCTGATTCTCCCGGTTCCCAGGGCAGAAATGTGCATTTCCTGCAATCACCCACTTAAGTGTTTTATAGTCCTGACGGCAGGAAGTCATCCCTGCGTCTAATCTAGACCCTTCTTCCTCAGCCCAGCTCTCTGGCTCTGGGGTTCAGAAGGGCTTCCTCTCTGATCAAAGAATGCCTTCTCCAAAGTCCCTGGCCAGACGCTGGGTTCTGGGCTAGTCCACCTCTCTCCCAAAAGGCCACCTCATCCCGTTCCATCCCAGCAGCCACCATGAGTACCTGCTTCTCACGGTGGTAGAGGGAGGCCAGAGTGTAGGGCAGGATCTGCAGGGCCGAGAAGGTGAAGCCAGTGAGGGCGGCCGAAGCGGTCACCACAGCCACACTGCGGGACAAGCATGTAGCGCCAGCAGCCACAGGAAAAGCCACCACGCTGGCCAGGTACACTGCCCGGGTGCCGAATCGCTGCACCAGTCGGTCCATGACCAGAGAGAAGACCAGGGAAATGGCACACTGCAGGAACAGCCCCAGGCTGCCCATCCGGACCCCTGGAGAAGGAGGTGACAGAAAGATCAGAAAAGGTGAGGTGGGGAAGGGGCCCAATACAACCTGGAGGGAAGAGCTCAGAATTAGAGGTGCAGAACTTCTCTCCAGTGCCCTCCCACCTAATCTGTAGCACTTAATCTGTAGCACTGGGAGTCTCGGTTCTTGCACTGGCCCACAGTGAACGTGGCCAAAGCCACAGGCCAAGAGCACAGAAGGAGGATGACGTCCTAAGGTTTTCTGGGAGCCTCAGCTCTGGGGAGAGGAGAGTATGAGGAAACACAAAGATAGTTCCACCATAGGCTTCAAGACAGTTCCAGAATGCCTGAGCTGGGAGTGGGAGGTACTGGAGGGGCTATTTAGAAAGTCTGCAGAGAGAGCAAACAGCACCCTGCAGTTGGACCCTAGTAGACCTGAGACCAAGCCTGGATTCGTCTACTTTTGGGTGACCTTGAATAAGCTCATGTCAATTTGGAACATTTGATTTAGATCAAACTCTCGGGGCAGACATAGCTGCCCTGCACCCATAAGGAGCTGCATACGCAGACCAGCCCGTGTCATTATTGTCAGTTGCCATCAAGTCAATTCTGACTCCTGTTTGCAGAGCAGAACTGTTCCATCAGGTTTTCCAGGCTGTGACCTTATGGAGGCAGACCACCAGGTCTGTCTTCTAAGGCGCCTCTATGTGGGTTCAAACTGCCAAACTTTCAACCAATAGTGGAGCACTTAACTGTTTGCACCACCCACGGACTCCAGCCCATTTTACTGACAAAGAAATCGAGGCCCAGGGACTATGGCATCCAGCCCAGGTACAGGTTGTGGGCATCTCAACATCCCCCATCCCACCCCCCCACAAACATCCTCTGGATAGCAGCTCCCACACCTGCCCATGGCCTTACCTTCATCGTAGTGTCTTCGGGCCTCAGTGCCTGGTTCAGCCCTGGGCACACCCTGATAGAGCCCTTCACCCACAAAGTCTGTGTAAAACAGCGTGAAGGTCATGAAGGCCATCCAACTGCATAGCTCAGCCACAAAAAGCCGGCGCAGGGTGCGAGGCACACGACAGCAGAGCTGGTGAAGCCGGGGAAACAGGGCACCCAGGTTCCGGAAGGCTGGGCGAGCATGGCACGGGCAGCAATGGGGTAGCACGGTGGGTACCAACAGCCCCTCATCTGGCTCAGCGGGGCTCAGCGCTGCCTCCTCAGCCACAAACAGTGTGGCTACCGTGCAAGTGAGGAAGATCAGAGTGAGCAAACCAAAGAGGCACTCCTCCTGTGTGCCCAGGTAGGGGGCCAGGGCGCTGGTGTCCCAGTCGATGGCAGGCAGGAGGTAGCCCAGACAGCCCCCGAGGCTGATCATGAAGGCGTAGACGGAAAAGGCCTGGCGACAGTGGTCTGGGTCCCGGAAGAGGTCAGAGAGCAGGGCCTCCAGCGGGGTGAAGCACACCTGGCCACAGAAGTCCAGCAGCCCCACACCCAGGATCAGCAGTGCCAACTCCAGGGGCCTAGCATCCGGGTACAGTAGCCCCGCCAGCCAACCAGCCCTGGGGATGAGGAAGAGGCTCAGCAGGACACCCAGAGACAACACCCAGATGAAGGGCCTCCGGCGGCCATAGCGCCCACGCCAGTGGTCACTGGCTGAGCCTAGGAGTGGGACCGAGACCAGGCCCAGCACCGGACCAATGCCTGCAGGAAGAACAAGTAGTGAGAGTCAGTGGAAGAGACCCACAGGGGCAGGGGGCCCAATTTTCTTGAGAAGGATGGCAATGATAAGGATGACATCACACTGAGGGCAAACTCTGTGCTAGATACAGTGCTAAGTACTTCAAGGGGACTCTGATTTACTCCTCAGAACACAGGTATTACTCAAAAAAAAAAAAAAAAACCCAGTTGCTGTGGAGTCAATTCCAACTCACAGCAACCCCATATGCATCAGTGTAGAACCGGGATCCTGACAACAAGGCTTTCTGACAATGGCACCCACTGCAGGGCTTTCAGTGGCTGATTTTTTGGAAGTAGATCACCAGGCCTTTCTTCCAAGGTGCCTCTGGGTGGACTCAAACTACCAACCTTTCAGTTAGTAGCCAAGCACATTAAACATGGACACCACCCAAGGTCTCCTTAGGTATTACTAACCATCCCCCCATCTTCAGATGGGAAAACTGGGGTGGAGGGCACAGATAGTGATGCTTCCACAGAGGCACAGAGCCAGGGAGGGCCAGAGACAGAACTTAAACACAGTCGGATTCTGGAGCCTGCAGTCCTGATCAGCCCCACTTCCTGGGGGTCCCCGTGCTGGCTGCAACTTGTCTTCTGTGGCTTTTGTGTAACTATCTGCAAAGTGTGGAGCCTACCCCCTCCCTAGGAGGTGAGAAAGAGCCCTAGCTCGAAAATGCTATTTGCTCTACTAATCAGTAATCATACAGCCCTGGAGAAGGCACCTAACCTCTTATAAGCCCATTTTCTTCTCTGTAAAATGGATTGCCTCAAAGGATTAAATGTAGTAACAGCATTTAAGTTATATAGGGCTCTTTATATGAAGGTAGGAGATTGCTCCAGTGTCTCCTACAAGCCGGGCCTTGTGCAGGGGCCAGGGACACAGAAGGATTAGGGTATGTACCTCTCTCTTTCTTTTTCTCACCCCCCACCCCGCCCCAGCAGAGTCCACCTCCTCTCCTCCCACACAGCTCCTTGGGCAGAAACCTGCTGCCCAGGGTGACTTCCAGGTGGCATGTGTCTGGAGTAGGCAGGAAGGAGGATGTAGTGACTCACCCAGCACCATGGTCATGAACTTCTCCTCTACCCCCACTTCCAGCAGCAAGGGGGGCACATAGGTGATACCCGCAGCCAGGCACACCTCCAGGCCAAAGGTCAGCAGGTTGACCAGCAGGAGCTGGGCTTTGCGATGCCGCAGCAGACGGCTCACCCACAGTCTCTGGATCATGGTGGGCCCGGCAGGGAGGGTGCGAGGGCTGTTCATGCGTGCCAGTCCTGCTTCCTCCCAGCCCTGCTCCATACAACGACGACGAGGCCTCTCCTCCTCACTGCCACCTGCTGTCTAGGATCCAGCCAGAAGCCCATTGCTGCCAGCCCTCTGGTCCAGCTTCTCAGTCCATGCTGAACGCTGGGTGCTATGGGGCGCCTCGGTGAGGACACATCTCATCACTCAGATCCTAAAAGGGCGGGGACAAGCGTTAAGCCCTGGGAACCAGGTCTCCAGGATTTGTTCTTTGAGTTCTCTGAATCCTGATCACTCTCTAGCCAGCCAGTGGTGTGGCCCTGCCACCTAGCAGCCACCCCCACCACCCAATCAGGAAATGCATGTTAATATTAGCCTAAGGCTGACATAATTAATAAGGTAAATACGATTTTTAAACCTCAGTACACACCACAGCCAAATACATGTGGGTTCTTTTCTGATTTAAAATATCTTTATAATCGACCGTGCCCACTAGTATGGGGGTAAAAAAAAAAAAAATCAAACCAACTGAATGCCCAGTTCCCCAGACTCTGCTATCAAGGTGCCCACAGACCCTCTGCCAGGCCTGGTTTGTTTGCTTTTCTCTCTCTACTTCCCAAAGCCGTTCAATTCCCCTTTGTCAAGAGTAACACTTCCTATTTCACACTGCCTGGCAGGGAGCCACGTTGCACCATAACCCCCACCCCCAGGACAAGGCAGGCCCAGGGAAGGGAGGAGAGCCTGCGGTTTGTTGGGTTGGGTTTTTAACCTGTCATTGAAACCACTTAAAGATGGCTCCCCTGGAAGAAGCTGGGCCTGAAAACCTTGCTCTTGAGTTTCTCCCTCCTCAATGTTTGTGGGGAAGAAACAGCCCTACAAGCACTCGCTCAACTGTCAGAGGACAGTGGGGCTGGTCCAGGTCCCAGCTTCATGAAGGCATGAAACCACACCACCTGGCAGTACCTGAGATGGTGCCAGTGACCACCCTCAGCTGGCAGGATGCCCATCATTCCCAGGCAGCCTGTCCCTGCTTCCCAAATGGCTCCTTTCACAGCACAGGGGTCCCCACATCTGAACCTGCCAGCACTGCCTCTGTGCTTTGATCCTTCTGGGTAAGCACCACCTTTTGCCCACCCCCACCACCAAGACAGGGGCCCTCCAGGCCTTGATTTCTGATGGCACCCACCCACCACAGTCTACCCTGTTGTTGTTGTTATGTGCTGTCGAGTCAGACCCGACTCATAGCGACCCCTCCTTGGGTTTCCTACGGAAAGTAGATGTATCGCTACAGAAGTAGATTGCCTCATCTTTCTTCCGAGGAGTGGCCGGTGGGTTTGAACCGCCAGCCTTCTGGTTAGCAGTCAAGTGCCTAAGGCACTTCACTACCAGAGCTCCCAGTCTACTCTATCAGAACAGATTACAAAAGACAGCCAATCCAAGTAGACCCACGCCCTGGAGAGAACAATCATGGGAGAAGGAAGGGCTGCTTATGCACAGGGAGACAGCTCAGGGGGCAGGAGAGTATGGAGGGATGGTCACTGGGAAGAGGTAACTATGGGGAGGAAGTGGAGGGGAGCTGTTGCATTGTGGTAAACTGTGGTCAATGACATGAGACAAAGTATACGTGAACTCCTGTATGGAAAGTGAATTTGCTCTGTAAATCTTCACCCAAATCACAATAAAAAAAAAAAAAGACAGCCAATCAAGCCAGCCATCAAGGGGAGATACAGTCTCTCACCTGTTATCCCTCCCAAAACAGGGGCAGGGGACAGAGCCACTCCTCCTGGAGGGAGTGCCTTCTTTCTTCACCCATTCAGGCCCATAATTGCTGTTGGGAGCAGCTATTCCTGTGCAAGGTCCAAGGTGACTGAGGCCTGGGCCCCTCTCTTCCTCCACCTAGAGAGCCTTCTGCAGCGTGCCCAGCCCTCACTCCTTCCCTCTTTCAATCTCAGCATCACATAATATGGCACTTTGACTTCTTTTATTTTTACAAATAACATTGGGCCTTGCATGTTGCAAAGCCACAGAGAAATCAGATGGTCCCCAACCCTGGGTAAGACTTGTTCATCCCACAACCATCTTCTGGAGCTTTGTAGCTAGTAGACCAGGTAGGAAGGGACTATAGCTAAGACTAGGCAACCTGAAGCCTCTTCTCCAAAGTCCCACTCAGGACCACGTCATACACCTTGGGAAGAGGCACTGGTTTCCTCAGAGGGGGTGCCTGAGAGAAGTATAAAATATTGATCCATATTCTGGGTGGGGGACCAGTCAGCCTGCTGGGAATTCAACTAGAGTCTCTCTCCAATCACTGCATTTCCACAGCACCCCCACCAGGGAAGCAGGAAATTGCACAGAAAGACCAAGGAGTGGTGCCGTCCAGCCTGGTGGGAGGGGTTCTGAATCAAAAGGCTTCTGGTCCCTTCCACTTCCCACCCATGGTCAGGAAGGGCCCTGGACACTCACCTGCTGTGGGATCTCAGGGAACCAGGCCCTCCCTGAACAAACAGTCTTTGCCTGACATGGCCTTACCCACAGCTTCCCTCCTGCCCAGGCCCTGGTTGTTCCCTGCTGTTTAAATAAATTGTAGTTCTCCTGCAACCATTAATCACCTTGCCTGCCTGCCTGCCTCCCGGAATCTAGCTCCTCAGTCCTCCTGGAAGTGAGCAGCACTCTCCTTAGGCCACGTGGAAAAAAGGCAAAAAAAAGATAAAGAGAGGAAATGCCCCTTCATCTTCCTACAGGATAGAGCTTGGGCTGCCTCCTTTTCCAGAAGTGCCTCTCTCCACCCCCAGAGGTTCTCTACCTGGTTACCAGGGGCTGGGCCAAGGGAAGTAAGGAGTGGGATAGGAAGTGAACAGGCTCTCAGCCCTGCTCTGTGCCCCTCTGCTCTTAGGTTGCTGAGCCCGTCCTCTTCCTTTGGATTTCTACTCTGTCCTGAGGTTCTGGACACTGTTGTCGTGCTCAAAATTTCCTCTTCCCAGCCCCAGAATTACCTGAAGAAATTAAAGCCCATCACAACACTCCCCTCTCAGTGTCCCCTTTCTTCTTCCTATGTCTTCTCTAGTACTCCAAGTCCCCACCTCACCACCCCGCACTTCAGCCCCAGAGTGGAAGAAACAAGAGGACTCCCCCAACACAAGCTCCAGTCACCCAGCCATCACCTCCCAGGCCTTCTTCCCCGGGGTACAAACAGAGAAGCCCAGGTCCTGCCTGATGGCAAGGCTAAGGTCAGAGAACAAAAGGATCAGCATCTTTTCCAGCTATTATAACTCCTGGCCATAGCCCCAAGGCACACATTTTAGCAAAGCTTGAAAGTGAGAGTCACTGTTGGACCCCCCTGTTTGAGGATCTCCCCTGTCTTCCTCAGGGACACAGGAAGGGAGTCAGGGTCAAATTCTCCTCTATACCCTCCAATTTCCAAGTTGTTTGACTCAAATCCACCTGCCCCACTGCTCCGGGAGTCCTTGATCTGTCTGGCAAACAGAAGATCAATCAGAAGAGCCAGTAGCAGGAGTACTCACCTGGTGAGGAGGGGGACTGAAAAAGGAAGGGGAGGTACAGAAGGATCAGTCTTGGCTGACCTTGCAGAAAAGACTGAGCAGCCTTCTAGGAGGACAAGTCCTCTCAAGTTCCAAACATCTCCCCTCCTCTCCAGGCCCCTGGATGACAGCAAGAAAGCTGGAGGAAACTCAAGCCCTCTGGGAATTTCCATGGTTCTCTGCCCCAGGCCATCCTTCCTCATCCCCAGGGGCACAGACATGAAGCCCTGGGATGGCCCTGCGAAAGTTGAGTGAACCAGTTTCTATCTGCCCAGCTCCAGGTACTGGGAGACCTACACTCTCCACCTGCCCAATATGGGCACCCTCAGGGTAGAGTTAAGGAGCTCTGGTGGCTTAGTAGATAAAGGATTTGGCTGCTAACCAGAAGGTCAGCATTTCAAACCCACCAGCTGCTCCTGGAAAGGAAGATGGGGCTATCTACTTTTGTAAAGATTTATAGCCTTGGAAGCCCAATGGGGGTCGCTATGAGTCAGAACCAACTTGATGGAAGTGAGTTTGGTTTGCAGGTGGGGTGTCAAAGATGGTAAAGAGTAAGCTTCCCCCCCACACACACACACCACCCAAAGACACACATACCAAGGACATTCCAGCCCCAGTCCCAGAGTCTGAAATTCCTAAAGGGTTCAAAGGTGGTGAGAGGATCAGAGAGCCTCTCCCAGCCTAGAATTCCCAATGGTTGCCCCTATGGTGGTGTAGTGCCTAAGGCACTGGACTGCTAACCAGAAGGCTGGCAGTTCATACCCACCAGCCAATCCTTGGAAGGAAGGTTGGGCAATCTACTTCCATTGTGATACTGCCTCAGAAACCCAAGGAGGGATCGCTACGAGTCGAGTCAAATCTGACTCCATAGCAATGCATATGTCCCCACTTCAGGTTGGACTCTGAGTAGAGAGGAGGAGGAAGTGAAACTGAGCAACAGGAACAAACCTGACTTGAACTTTCCCCAAAATTCAAAAGACCAAGTAGAGAAGGCAGAAAGGGTGCCCACTCCCTGGTCGCTCCCTAAGGGGAAGGGAGGGTCAATGGGGCTGATAAAGAGGCCTTTGAGGGTTTCAAAGGGGCCTCTGCCACCCCTCACACTGAAGTGGGGCTGAGGGGCACAGATTCCCTCTGCTGACAGAGGCCAGAGGGAGCCCCTGCTGGAGGCAGCCCGCCCCAGTCAGTGTCAGGCAGCAATTCTATGGGCTCTTTATGCAGTGGTGTGCCCACACCCGACCCAGGCACATCAAACGGCCGCAGTCCCCACCCTGATCCCCAGGCTCCAAGACCCTGAGCCCTCCGTCTACACTCACAAAGATCACAAAGACCACGCTGCTTTCTCACACGCTCCTGGGAAGCACGCTCCTCCACCCTTCAGGGCCTGCAGGCAGGTGGCCTTACACTCGAAGAAAAGGAATGGAGATGGGGTAGAGTAAGCAAGAGGAAAAATGACTCAGCTGAAGAAGGGGGTGGGGTCACTCGGGGCCAATCTCCCTAACACGCCCACCACAGGCTATCTGGGCCCTGGCCAGGAACTGTGGGTGCCGAACAACCCATGGGTCAGAAGCTGCAAGATAGCAGGGAAGGGGAACCCCAGTCCTCCAAACCCAACAGGGCCCCAGTGGTCTGGCTCCATGTTGAGCTCTCCTGGGACCTCTTGTTTAGGGGCAGGGAA